GTACCAATGGGAATTGCTTTGCTGCAATGAATTGGCAGCGAGCATCAATTCCCCAATCTGGGCCTTGATATTGAATCCGGCCATGGAGCAAATCTCCTGCATCGCCAAGCTGTCTCTTGAATCCCAAATGTAATCCTTGAAGTGAATGATGGGGTCAATGTGAGACCTCACAAATACGTGAGTAAATGAATGCCTCATGAAATCAAGAAATCGCTGCGAATGTGGCCTGAATCCAATCACCACTGGTGTGTCCGCCAAATACTGAATCAATCTGTTCTTTGCATCACCCTCTGGTGCAAATGATCGCTCATAGCTGAATGAATACAGAAAAAATAGCAAAGACGAACGCGGGCTCAAATGGAATCCAGTAAACTGACTGTTCCAGAAACAATGTGAAGCAAGAATTGCAAATGTTCCCTTCATAGCCTCAGGAATGTTACTGGCACGGCCCTCAAAAATCCTCTTCAAATGGTTCCACATTGCTGAAGGCATGGTGAAATACAGCATGAATGGCAACATGCAAAAGTTCAAATGTTGCAAATTCCAATTGGGGTTGAATGGAATCAATCTCTCCACCCTTGGTGGGAATTGTAGCCACAAATGCCTCTCAAATGGAGTATAGGACATACTCCCAGCCGCAATGTTTGGAATGATCCTGATCAGAATCTGCGCACTCCAGGCATCGTCCGCGAATCGGTTCATGAAAATAAAATCCTGGAACCCAAATTGTTCCTGTTGCTGGCCGCTGAATAGAATCTGCCACAACATCGTGGCCGTAATGAATGCCTTGTATTCCGAAAAATTCGTGCGCTCCATCTTCAAATCTCTTGCGAGAATCCGGTGGAAATACTGTCGCGTCAAATTCCGGAATGCGGGCTGTCCATCGCATCGGTCGAAGTAAATGCACACCGAAATGTCAGTCAGAATGTTGAGCAAAACAAATGTTGCAGTCATGCATGAAATGGCTTCGAATTCACTCGTGGCAAAATGTCTTGACTACTGACTAAGTGAAACAGAATCATGTTGACTATCTACTACCTGAAGGGCAAATCCCTAATGTGATGTTATGCCTCTGCAAAATTGCCTTGGCAACATACTTGGTTAAAATGTCAGATGGGTTGAGGGTTCCCGGAATCTTCTTAATCACCAGGGTCCCAGAGGAAACCAGCTCCTGGACAAACAGAAATCGCAATTGGACATGTTTGGTTTTCCGGGATGCCCCAAATCTGACAGCCATGCTCTTGCCTGCAGTTGAATCGGTAAACAGAATGATGTTCACCTTGGGAGCCACAAGGGTTTCCAGAATCAAAGATTTAATGAATAGGGCCTCGGCCGCACCACTTCCAATAGCATAAAGTTCGGCTTCCCCACTTGACAAGGCAATGGTGGCCTGTGTTCTGCTGTGTGCTGAAATGTTGATGCCGAGAATGTTCAATGCTACTCCTGATGTGGACCTCCTGGAATCGGTGCAACCTGCCCAATCGCTGTCCACATAGACCTTTATGTCCAATGATTTCACCTGTCTTCCAATCCGGAAATCAGGTCTCATAACATGGACATAATCCTTGGTTCCACTCAGGTACCTCAACAATGTCTTCAACTTAATCTTGTGCACCTCAGTGGGAGCAACCAATCCTCGTGACAACTCCTTAACAGCATACATGATGTCAACACGCAATGCTGCAAGCCACAACAATTGTCCAACCAATCTCCTATACAATTTATGCTCTTGCGAATTCAACAATTCGTTGTCAAGCAACTTCCGCAATGAATCTCCTCCTGGCGTCTGAGCCGGCTTGCTCTTGGTCATGCCATAGGAATCCAGCATGCGGTCAATGTAATCAGGAGACATGAACAATTCCATGGAATCTGATGTTCGGCGAATCTGACGTCCCAAGAAGGAGACTGTCTTACCTTCACTCAATTCACCTGTCTGCCGAATCAGAAGCACCTTCTTCAAATCTTGCATCACCTCATCAATGTCACGTCGCTCACCTACAAACATCAAATCATCGACATAGACCAATGCCCACAATTTCTTGGTCTTGTGTCGGTACAAATTCGGATCTGACTTCAAACGCTCAAATCCCGCGTCAAGCATGGTCTTGGCTAAATGCTGTTGCCATGCCTTTGGCGAACCTTTCAGGCCATACAATGCCTTCTTCAATCGCCAAAGTACGCCCCCTTGAGGGTAGTACTCCTTTGGAGGAATGACAAAAATCTTCTGCCACAACGTCGCATGCAAGAATGCGGTGGACACGTCTGCAATCACAACATCCAAATTCATGGCAATGGACAACGCAATCAACAACTTCAATGTGGACAAGCTTGGGGTAGAAGCGAATGTGTCATCCTTATCTTCAATGTATTGGTCAAAGCCACGGGCTACCAATCTACACTTCACTTCTGCTCCTTTCCAAGACTTAACCCACTTCATTGAAATTGCTGAATCAACTTCTTCCTGCGTCAAATCCTCGGTTTTCTCTTCTACATACGAATCAAAGTCCTTC